CATTACATTTTTAAAATTAAACAAAATACCCGGTAACATATGAATTTCATTGCACCATTTGATTGCCCAGAATCTCTACTTTTAGAATATCATATATTTTGCCGAGCAGTTATGATTAGATGAAGAGACAAAGCTATTTTCTCAATGCTATACTGGTCGCCATCTCCGAACCTACCGTACTCTCAAGTTTGCTCAGTACCATATGAATTTTTTTGCACTATTCGATCCAGCTGAATCTCAGCATTCACAAAAAAATATACTTTATAATAAATCAACAAAAAATCGCACAAAAAGCTCCAATTTCGGAGGTTCGATGACCCGTCCCGAGCAGTGTATCATCTCGTCCCCAATACTCACGCAGTAATTCTCTAGGAATGCGTCCTCATTCAGCTCCTGCCCTCCAATCATATAGGCGATCCGTCGTTTACGTTCCGACGGCTTCAAACACGTTCCCTTAAGTTTTTTTACATTTATTGACATTATTTTTCATACATTAACAATAACTAACATATAATTTACATTATTATTTATAATCAGTATTACTATTTATTATTGATTACAGATTACTATTTTAATTGATTATAGATTATTATTATTATTAATTGTATATTATTACTGATTATAGATTATTATTATTATTTGTATACAACGCACTCTGATCAGTTTCGCTTTCTGAAACTCGTTCAGCTCCTTCACCACCTTCTGCGGTTTATCCCAAATCATCAGCAATTCCATTGGGATCATTAGATTTCTTTGCCGAGGTCCCACAACCAACACCGGCAAATTCGGAAACCGCAGTCGCATGCCTATCAATTTAATTATTACTATCATTAATTTACTATCAAAACATTCATTTACTATTAATAGTACCATTTGTAAATTATCATATATAAATAAAATATTAATTATTATTTATACACTTACAATCTTATCATTATCATAACACATCCCTGGCAAACATCAACCGAAAAAATACCACAATCTTTTTAAAATTCAAATATTTATTATTGTATCCTTTAACATTAACTATTAAGAATACTATTAATGTAATTAATACAACATAATACTATCGATACATTAATATAACGTTAATATAATCGTCACATTCAAATCCATAGTAAATATTACTAAAAAAAGATAATATTTAACAAAATAATAATAAATATTGTAAAATTATAAAAACTACGCAAAACTGACTCTTTATACGTGCAAAGTACTCCTCAACCGTCACCTCCTTTGCGCTTGCGCTCGGATCATCGCGATCGGTGTAGACGAATCTAAATTATTTATATCACTGAAGATATTTATTATCATTTATTACAATTAAGTTACATTTTTATCATTATTTATTATATTTATTTATTAATTAATATATATTCGAACATTTATCTTTATTTACTATAATTATTTATTATTATACACTACTAAACAACCTTGCTATTGATGCCGGAGGTCCTACATCCATGAACTTGTATGGCTTTCTTTGACTTTCCTGCACGTATATCGGAGTTACATTCACACCTTAAAAATATCTCATTATCACATAATAATAATAATAATAATAACAATAATAATAACAATAATAATAACA